CCTTCTGCGTTGAGCTCGTTTGAAATCATCGAGCACGCCTCCTCGCGACCGTACATGTTAAGGCGTACCGAAGGAGAGCGCAGGTTGCGCGTGCGGCGACGCCGAGTTTGACGTGTGTGGCTATGCTGACGGTGTTGTTGATGTTGGTGGTGTTGGCGGTGGCAGGGAGCTCTGCAAGGAGCAGAGTGTCCTCCGAGTTCATTGACGAGTGTCGAGACCTGGCAGATTTCGACTGGACCCATGGACCCGAGGGCACTGCAGTCCCGGTGATTAAGAAACTGTGGCAAGCACTGTACGTCCTCCTGCCGGGCGCCATTCGGCAGCCTGATAAACATGTCCATCGCCTGCTCTCCAACACGGCCCGCAAATCCGTCTGGTTACAGGAGGCTTCCGAGAACGGGGCGCGCACTCTGCGACAAGAGAGCCTCGGCAGACCTCGCACTTTGGTACAAGGGATAACACACGAAGCAAGCAATGCTCGACAAAGGGGGCTCTGCTTTCCAGTATCTCGGGGTACTGTGATGCGTAAGCGAGAGAGGAGGCAAGGAGACTGTCCTATCCGTTCGAATATATCAACCCAGATACCAGTGATGAGCATGGTTCCCCTCCGACTTCCTGTATCCAGCCTGTCCGAGCACGAAGAGCGACGGTTCGCCGCTAGCCTCTGTTTGTCGATACCTGCCCCGGTGCAGCGTCGTCGAAGGCCTGCGGCTTCATGGTCTCGACCGTGCGGGACCGGGAGTTCCTTAATCGATAGGTCATCTCGTCTAGGTTGTGAGTTCCGAGCGCGGCCTCATGCTCGCTAATGACATGCTGGAAGAGGTGGGCGAGGCTCAGACGGACAGGAGCCAGCGTCAGCTCAGCCTCGCGATGCTCAGGGCTGGGCCCGAAGATTACCCTTCTGAGGACGCACTTCTAGGTGCTCACAACGTTGTCAATGAATGCCGCCTTGCACCAGAACTGGCCGATAAGGAAGGAGATCTTACAGATCTCCACCGAACCCAGGACTATTAGGATACTGTCGTTCTGGCGATCGAAAAGCTGTACTAGGCGCTGTAGGCCTTCAGACTCAACGCTTTTCGGCCCCCGAACAGACACGTCGTCTGCCTTTTGTCTAATACTACCCCCGAATCCGTCCGGATAGAAGGTAAAGACATTCGACCTCAGTCCGCACCTGGGTGTTCTTGAGTTCCCAGCCTCGCGAGATGACACCTGTAGCGGCTATGTGCATACCCTGAGACTGATCCATCTTTTGCGGAGCTACTGCGCTAGAACAAGTCATTCCTCGGGAATATAATCCGTTAGAATATGGCAATTGATAGGGGGGCATGACGAATTGATACGCGGGCATGACCCTTAGGGGGGCATGACTTTTCGGGCCTCTGATTCGTCAATTTCTTTTTTGTTAGTGTTGGCAGAATTCTGCCGTACCCTGTTAAGTACCTCAAGGCTATCTCCCCTAATCTCGGAGCTGACACGACGCGACGCGATCAGATCAAGCCCACCAACAGCAAGCAAATCCACCATGGTCAACCTTCGATAATTGGGAACTTCGTCATGTTCCAATCCGAGTCTCCTTCCAACTCGAGACGACGAACCCGTAGTTCTAGTCCCCACGCTCAAGATCAAGTACGGCCTCGAAAACGACAGCGGCAGAGCCGACAGGGCAAGTTCAGCCCGCCGATATTTGCGAATCGGCCATCCTCAGCGAGCAGCATAGCAACAAGTATCGGCCAATACTACGGAGTCGGCGACGAAGATGTACTCGGAAATCTCTTTGCATCTTACCCAGAAACCTTCACGACAGCTCCACAGCCGCACGGATGGCGTGGACTTCACGAGCCACCATGGGAGCTCCGTTTCGATCACGAGGTGCACCTCTCAAACGATTTCCCGTCCGGTGGAAGGCAGTCCTTACGAGTGAGGATTCCTGTCCCAGGACCAGAAACCGACCCACTGTCTTCCTTGCCACTTCAATCAGCACAACAGCAGCAATCGTCACCCACACGGGCCGAGTTTCAATCTGCCCTGAAGCTAGTACGAAAAGTGATTGGGACGGAGCGGAGGCTTACGCTCGAGCTCGCTCGGTCATACGAACGAGTACGTCAATGGCGCGAGAGATGGGGCTACTCACCACTCAGCTCAGATGCGATTGAATCGCCTCCTCCCTACTCACCGCCCCGAGAGCCGTCCGCCCAAGCTTCATCTCCTCAAGAGATGCGATCTTCTCCTCGGATGTCTTCGTCCCCTGACCCAGACCCGATCCCGAATCCGCCGATCCCAGGCGACCCAAAGCCGTCAGCCGAAGCTTTGTTCGACGTGGTAAACACCTTTGCGAAAGAGAATGGCTTCGGCATCGTCCGACGACATGCCTATTCCTACAATGGTCGGAGGATGAGGTACTCTTTCCAATGTGACCGATACGGAGAACCACGGCCGAGTAGAGGTACAGGGCTTCGGCTACGCAAGTCTCGGAAGTGTGGATGCAAGTGGATGGTCATTGCTGAAGCTCTAGAAGAGGGCAAGTGGCTCCTAAGACAACACCCAAACCCCGAACACAATCAACACAATCATGGACGTAGCATTAGGCCGTCTGCGCACCCTTCCCACCGACGACTCACTACACCCATCAGGGCTACCATCGAGTCGACGAGCCGTCGGGTCGGTATCCGGGCCCGTGACGTACGGGCTGTGGTCCAAGACCAACATCCCGAGTCAATCTTGACGCAGAGGGACATCTACAACGCCCGAGCTCTCATCAACCGAGACAAGCTGAATGGCTATACTCCCACCGCCGCGTTAATCAAGCTGTTTGACGAGATGGAGATTCCCTATCTCGTGAAGTGGGCGGACGATGAGCCAAACCGTCTCGTTGGCCTTGTCTGGACTTTTCCCTACTGCCTCCAGATGTGGAAGCGGTTTCCCGAGGTGATCAGCTTCGACAACACATACAACACCAATCGCTTCAAGCTTCCATTATTTCAGGCAACAGGACAGACCTGCCTTGGCTCTGTCTTCAATGCTGCTTTCGGCCTGATTGACAACGAGAGACGGGAGGGGTTTCAGTTCCTCTCCGAGAGTATTCGACAGCTCTCAGAGCAACACTCTATTCGCCAACCGGACGTTATCATTACCGACTTCGACGATCAGATGAAGGCAGCCCTGAATGATCAGTTCCCTGATGCACAGCAGCAGCTGTGCATCCACCATATCAATTCTAACGTCTTGCTCAAGTCAAAGCAGAAGTGGGCCAAGGGCCACAGCAGCAGCAGTTCCGACAGCAGCGACGGAGAAGACTCTGCTCCACAGGCACAGGCTGAGCTGAGCCCCAAAGACCGACAGTTGGTCCACGCCCCGACGGCGGCGGTCATCCCTCATAGCTATCGAGGGGTCCTCATGATGTGGAAGCTCGTCATGTTTGCGGAGACTGAGGAGGCTCATGAGAAGGCGTGGAGAAATCTCTGCAATGAGTTTGATGACCAGCGAGCTATCCTGCGGTATCTCCATGGAACTTATATGCCTGTACGGGCGCAGTGGGCGCGCTGTTTCATTCGCAAGTATCGCAACTTCGGCGTCCGCGTCACCTCTGGTACAGAAGCAAGCAACAACAACATCAAGAGCTATCTCCTGAATGGTATGAGCCATCTCTATCGGCTCATGGAGGCTATGCAGGACATGATGAGGGACCAGGAGCGAGATTTCAACGACGCTTGCGCAGCGGACGAGGTACTTACCGCGCGAGAGTACATTGGGCCTAGCTCGGAGCATCTCGGCGAACTCCGGACGGCGCTCTCTTCCAAGGGCCTTGGACTGATCAACAAACAATATCGGCTTGCAAGGAAAGCAATGCCGACCGGGAAGAATCCGTTCCCTGAATCCCTCGGGGATTGCGGCGAGGACTGCTCGTTGTCGATCGAGCTTGGAATTCCCTGCTGCCACAGGATCTACTCAAAGCTGAATAATGGTACGCCTTTCACGAAATGGGACGTCCATCCTCGGTGGCACCTACGAGAAGCATCCTCTCGAGATCCATACCGACGAATCCTCGACCCTAAGATCGCCACTGCTCTCCGTGGCAGACCTAAGAACGCCAAGCAGGCCGTTCCATCAGGGCTAGCCATCGAGACTAGTAGTCAGCCGATTGGTCAACCGGTCGACCAGAGGGCCCCCGAGCCGTAGGCGAGGTCGTCCACAGGGCAGCTTGAACAAGTCGACTCAGGCCAGAATGGAACTTGGGACGAGCCGACAGGCCAGTGGCCAAGCTGATGTCTCGAATCAGCGCCAGTTACGCAGCCAGTCGACCCTTCTAGGGACGGGAAGAACCACAGGAGTTCGTGCCAGCGGGCGGAGAACGCAGCCCAGCATTCGGAGACGGAGGAATCAATGGGAGCTGGCTGATGGCGAAGAGGAGATTCTTCCTTCCATAGTAGTAAGGGGAGACGTAGACAGCTTTGGTTATGAAACAGCCCTTGAATACCCTGTACCTGTGAGGCGGGCCGCACCCACTCAATTAGGAAGCACTCGCTGAGTCAGCGAGCGCCCGTCTCTTACCTGTCGCTCGCCTGGCGCTCGCCAATCGAGCGACGGTAAGGCAATAGTCTTGTACGACAGCGACCTTTTGGAATACAGAGAACTTCCCATCGCGTGCCTATTCCGGATCAGTACCTTCTCCTTAACAGTACCGAAAGCAATACTTCTCTTTGACGCCTGTTCGAAAGGGTTAGTGTTGGTCGGGTGCATTTGCGGTCACGAAATCTGGGCTTGTTAAGAGGGCTGGCTTCACCGCCTTTGCTCGGAAGTATTTATGGATCTAGAAAATTTGGCCCAATCAAGTGTTACAAAAAGTCATGGCCCCCTAAGGGTCATGCCCGCGTATCAATTCGTCATGCCCCCCTATCAATTGCCTATTTTAATGCCTCATTTCCGCACCCCGCAGCGGAATTTAGCACAGGCTCAACAGACAGCATTTTCCACTCTGGTATGACATCGTCCGGTTTGTCATGGCATTCAACATCTTTGGCAACGCGACTGAGGAGACATCTTGGGTGCCCAACCCAACCACCCGAGGAACGTCGAATATCCTTCTGCCCTGCCTCATCACGATTTCACTCTGCGTCTGGTCGGCTCTGCATCTCAACATACAGGGGTACCGTGATGGTGAATTCATCTGGATGCTCTACCAGACGTGGAGAAAATCCGGCTGGGTCATAGTTGGTCTTCTTGCCCCGGAGTTTCTCATTTACACCGCTTGGTATCAGCGATGCGAAGCCAAGCTCTGTGCGACCGCATTCAACAACACAATTGGGATCACCCCTCCTCCCGGGACGTTTAGCATAGGAGCGAGACTCCGAGAGGGCCTGAAAAAGGCGGTTCCGGTAAGGGCTGATGATTTTCAAGACTTAAAGTGCATGGAGCACATGTAACGTAAACTTTCCTTGGCTTACATCTGGATATGCAGAAAATATGGTCAAACGATCAACGCAATGGAAATGGCTTCGATGTAGAAATGGGGCACATTGAGGACCAGCAGAATCAGCAACGCCCTTGGACGATTGCACAAGGCTTCTACATTCAGATGGGAGGGATTGCCTTTGGTACGATCGAACAGCATCCTATCTCTCTACTCCAGGGCCACGCGGTCTTGGACAGAAAAACTTTTCTCTCCGTTCTCGGTGCCATCGACCTTCCAGAAGCCAACGCGCCCGATTTCACCGCCTTCAGAAGTCAACTCGATATCTCCGAAGAAGATCTTGTGGACAAACGGAAAGGTAGCGGTATTGCCAAGGCCCTAGTCTGTCTCCAGGCCATCTGGTTCTGCCTCCAATGCTTCGCTCGCGTGCTCCAACAGTTGCCGCTCTCCCTCCTTGAACTCAACACCTTCGCTCACTCTCTCTGCGCCTTGGTGGTCTACATCCTTTGGTGGGAAAAGCCGTTGGATGTTGAGCGGCCTACCTACCTGACAGTTAGTTCAGAGCGCGAGATATATCTATGGGCCCGCGAGTTTCCCAATTTTTGTTACCAGTGCTTGGAGAGTAGCGAAAGTACTGTGCGGGAAACGTTCATTCAACCTATTCTCTCCTTCTTCAGGACTCGGCGATATGGCGTACCTACTGCGGAGCCACGACAGTGGATTGAGCTCACTGCTGTCGACGATCAAGCCATCCCTTCGAGGTATAGACTCCTCAATTTGAGAACGTCCGACTCTAGCTGATTCAGTCTCTAAGGTTCGATGCCAGGTGCTCCGGACAGACCTATTGCGGCCTCCTGGTTCGGAGGCATATTGATGCCGAACTGGGCTTCTGGATGCCACTGCGCGATCGCGAACCTCAACCTCCCCCAGAACTTCTCAGACTCAATCGGGCAGACAGCAACAACCCAAACCATCCTAACGCTTGGGGATTTGAGCTAAAAGCTCCTTGCGATCACCAAGAACTGAACCCAGAACTCAGGACCCCAGACAGAGTCACAGACTAGCCTGGGTTCCCTACTCGGCACATATTGTTAAATAGCTGTGCTATCCGTCTAGGCGCGTTGCTTGCCCCCCTCAACAGAGGAGTTGATGAACCCACACTTTGAATTGCGCATCGACATCCTTGAGGAGTGTATCCTCGCTGAGGCCACGAGCTCGGAGGATCTGCTTGATGGCGCGTTGTAGCTCGTCTGCACGGAACGTCCCCGAAGGTTGCCTCTCATATTAACTCGGTGGCTTTTCTTGTCGAAGACCTTGTTTAAGAACTGACAGGTGGATTGGATGCAATGGTGTGTCACTCGAATAGTTCTTGAGCAGGTTTTGAAGGTCCCAAGATAGTATGATGGGAAAAAGCGGCAAGATTATTGTTTGGAATGCTTGCAAGTGGAAATACTAGGTATATATCAGCGTTTTAACTCGCTCATGAACGGCAAATAACTACAGCTTGCGCAAGATATTGCTCCGTCGTTGTAACGCGAGGCTAGACTAGTAAAAGATAATAAATCAAGATTTGTGCTGGGTGTGAGCGCTCTACTGCGACATAGGAAATTGTTCTAGGCGCCAACAAAGACCCCTGACAGTAGTGGTTGTTGTAAGAACTGAGTGTTCCCCTGAACTTCAGAGTTGTAAGGCCTCAAATCCTAAAATGCCCCAAGACTGTAGGCCTCGGTGTCACATGACCCTCTGAGAATGAATATATATGTGGCCATGAGATCCAATAACAGCTGCATTTCCATCTCGTTGATGTCATGGCAGCCGAGCCTGAACATGCATTTCTGTGTCGACATGTGGCTTAGGGAAGCCCAGTCCTTGTTCGTGTATGTCACGTCGTCATGATACTTAGCGCTGAGGATCAGTGCGGCGAGAAAGACCCGGTGGCAGCTGGAGGACGATCCTGTGCAGGACGCTAAGCGCCGCTTGAGTCTCGCCATGTAGACGAGCGTCGACATCCTTTCTTCATGGGTATCGCCCTTTGGTTTCGACATACAGAACGACAGGGAGAGACGATGGGTTTGCAAAACATGTGTATTAAAGAGGAGGATACCCATTGCAAACTATAAGGCCGAGGGCACCCAGAATATCGAACGCCACCTCGACAAATCCCATAAGATCCGTGACCCAACGGGAAACCGCAAACGACCCCTGACGAAGACATATCCATCTATTGCCGACCACTTGAGCATGGATCGAGAAAACCCTCAGCAACAAGCCATTGTGAACACTTATATTAAGCGTATCGATCGAGTCCAGTTTCAGAAGCTCGTCGTCAGCTGGGTCGTCGAAAGGCAGCAATCCTTCACAGAAGTCGAAAGCGGAAGTCTCCGAGCTATCTTCGAATATCTGAATCCGTCCATTTCGGTACAGGATGCGCACATCAGCCACGACACTGTTTCGTCACCAGATTTCAAATGCTAGCAGACGATTATCCAAGCCCTTGCTCGCGCTCCAGGTCAGATCCGTATCTCCTTCGATGGGTGGCGATCGCGCAATCGCCATGCTCTCTATGGAATCTGCGCCTTCTTTCGAGATGAGAATATTCGGCCGATGAAAGTTGTTTTAGGGATCCCTGAGATTGCAGAACGACACTTTGGGGAGACCATTGGTGCTCAGATCCTCAGCATTCTTTACGAGTTCAAGATCGAAGAGAAAGTCGGCTATTTCTGACTCGACAACGCAGCTAACAACGACACCGCCATGGAGACAATCGCCGATCAGCCTAGCTTCGAGCCCAAGGCTCGTCGTGGACGTTGCTTCGGCCATATTGTGAATCTCGTCGCTAAAACCATCCTTTTTGGCAAGGGCTGCGAAGCGTTCGAAGCTGATATCCAAGCCCAGAAGCTTGCTGAGGCTGAGCATGAACTGTGGATGAAGAAAGGCCCAGTCGGCAAGCTCCATAACCTCGTGGTCTGGATCCGTGGCAGCGACACGCTTACTCACCTGCTACGCAAAATTCAACAGTCTGCCAATGGGGCCAGTGAGAACCCAAAGATTCGGGTTCGCAAGCCTCTTGACCTCATCATGGACAACGATACGCGGTGGCTTTCGCAACTTTTTATGATGCGCCGAGCCCAACTCCTTCGACCGTCCCTCGAGACCCTCCTATTCGAGTACAAACAATTGTGGGAAAAAGAAAATCTACGCAAGGATGGTACACAGAAGAAGGGCAAGAGGTTGCCATTGTGCCTCGGAGAACAGAGCAGGTTAACGGTCGCGGACTGGAACGTGATCGACGGCTTCATTGAGCTGCTCGAGCATTTCGAAAACACGATCCTCATTCTGGAAGGCGACGGGCAAGCTCGAGAGAGAGCAAGACACCATTTCAAGGAATCGTACGGCAATATCACGGACGTCTGATGGCGTACGAGTACTTGCTCTCTAACCTTGAAGATGCAAAGGAGAAGATCGACCAGTACGCCGAACCAGAGCACTTCCGAGTGAATGTGCAACTAGCTTGGGAGAAAATCAACGAGTATTACGAAAGGCTCGACGATACCCCGATGTAGTACGCCGCCCTGGCCTTCCACCCGGCGTTTGGCTGGAAGGTGATCGAGCGCGAGCGGGATACTCGACCCGAATGGGTTCGAAAGGCGAAGGAGATTGTTAAGCAGGTGTGGGAAGATAGCTACTCGAAGCTTGAGATTGCCCATACGAGCGGTGAACCCGTTGCGAAGAGGAGAAAAACGTTCCACAACAAGTTCAGCAGGTTCAAGGAAGATAAGCGCCGGATAGCCTTTACATCGCCGTCAACCAGCTCGTTGGGAGACGAGTACGAATGCTGGCTGCTGAGCGCTTCAGAGGTTGACAGCGAGGTAAGTGATCCGTATGAATACTGGCACTCCAGGCGCAAGCAGTTCCCGAGGCTATCTGTGATGGCACTGGATTTCATATCGATCCCACCGATGTCTGCTGAGTGCGAGCGACTGTTTTCGGCCGCTGGGCGTATGGTTGCCCCGATTCGGAGCCGACTGGAAGCCAACATGATCGGGATGGCTCAGTGTCTTCGCTCCTGGCTGCGTTCGGGCCTAGTGGACGAGCTCGGGAGCAGGCTGCTTGTCACCCCTGAGGTATGCAGAGGCAGGGGGAGAGGCTATAGTGACGAGGAGGAGGCATGGTTAGCTGCAGAGCGAGTTTGACAGGGACGGGACGGGTTGCGGGTAGAAGGCGGGGTGATATATGGCATGCTGTTGGATGGCACATGATCCCCGGCGGGATGTCAATTCCACCCACTCCAACTTCACTAGAGGCGTCGGTTGATCAACCCCATGCAAGAAATCTGTTGCAAGATCCACTTCAATTTCATATGCCTCAGCGGTGGATTGGATTGAGTTGATCGCCAGCTTGATAGTGTGTGGTCTTGTGGAACACCGCCTGGCAAATCATAGGGAACCGAACAATCCCGTCGAGAGCCAGGCCTTCAACACCCCCAGGTGCTCCGCTACATATTCGGCCCGCCGAACGGCCACGAGTGTACCCATGCGCCGTCTTGAGGTGCGTCATCAAAGCTGTTCGCCCTCGACAAACATAGCGCTCTCTATCATCAGAACAGAGGAGACAACAAATTCCGTCCCGAAAAACTGGAATGTGTGGAATGGGCTCGGCATCTGGCAGGGGCTTGACGGTTTGACGAATCAGCTCTGGTGCTTGAAGAGTGGAAAGTTGAAAGAATGTGTTTTCGAGGGCTCGTATGGCCGCGGGATCGTATTGGCGGATAGGACCATGGTGCAGCTGGACATGGCGTACAGCAGAGGTGTGCAAGATGGATCTGCATTCTATACAGATAAGAATGTGCCATTTCGGCTCGTGGCAGAGCAGATCTTGTATCCTCATTGCACAGTTCGATGCAAGAGTTTTAGGGAGCTTGCAACATACAAACGAAGCCAGGTCGTCGCGTCCGCTGGTTTACTGATCGCGTCTCGACGCGTGTGGTCGGGAAGTGGGCCCATTAGACTTGAACGCCGGGGACTACCGTACAGGGGGCTCGTGACAATTCAGGGTAGGCGACAATTATAATATGAGAGTAGGGCGTCGCATATTTCGGCCTGGATGAGAGCCGGGACACCGTATAGTATTCGTGACAATGCAACAAAAAAACCGGATACCTCGACTGACCATACATTGTCCTCACGCGTCAACGATACGCAGCACTTAGTCGACGGTGAACATGGTGGATATACAGATATGCGATAAAGGGCAGCCCGGGCCTGACAAGCAGGTAATGTAGTCGAAGCCCCTGCCGTTGTCTCCGTCCATGCTAGGGCGTCTGATGCTGCAGGACCTGTTTCTGGAACGCCGACCAATATTCTTCCTCCAGCCAGGTCACAAGGCATCGTAGGGACGAAATGATCTTGCAGACGCCTCTGGCCTTGGATGTCGACCCAAGAGATATCCTTGAATAGAGTGTTGGGGTATTGACACCGACCAAAAACGGATCCCGAGACGTCGACGGTCGCGGGGGAACGGTCGCGACAAAGTACCACTCATGGCCGTGGACGATGATGCCGGGGAGGAACTCGATGGCCTGAAAGGACGCGTCGGGACATTGGTGAAGGAGACTTCGTAACTGTGCCGCATGCCAGGTTCCCATTTGGACCTCTGCCTCCGTAGTACTGCCCTCGGGACTCTTAAATTCAAGGGAAAGGCCGATTGGATACTTGCACAGAGCTCCCGAGTCTGTGTGGTTAATGGAGATGCCAGGGCGGGATGCGCGTAGCATGTCGATCTGGCGAGAGATGTCGCTACCAGCCCCAGATTTGAGGACCAAGCAATAGTCCACCATCTTCGGAGGCAGTGTGGAGGGGCTGAACGCGCGGTTGATCCTGGAGGAGGTGCTGAGCCATGATGTTAGCACAAGGAACCGCGGAAGGGAAACCAGCGCAAGCAGAGCGCACGTACCAGGCGTGGAAGTCGACGAGCCCAGAAAGGTCATCTTTTGGTCTGAGTACCCACGAGAGGATCTGACGATAGACCTGATCGCTCCAGACGCACTCTAACTCGTTGTTCTCGTCGCACTCGATAGCACGCTGGATCACGCGAGTGATGAAGGCTGCCAGTGGCACGTCAGGGCGAGAGCGCGATTGCGATTCTTGGTCAGCTTGTTTGAGAGACTGGAAGTACGTCTGGGGGATTTTGTGGTCGGAAATTGCCTGTTGTTCGTTTGGCGGTTAGCGGAATGCATCAACACACGTCGCAGCACCGTTGGTTATGAAGAGTCTTGTACCTGGTCCCACCATTCGTACGGAAGTCTAGTTTCGCCGCTATCGATTTCTTCTAATCTCTCGAGAAGGGCCTGCAAGCTTGTCGGTAGACCGCTTGTGTCGAGGGGGAAGGCACGTCGGGTGTAGCCGTTCTTGTCGAGCTCGGCAAGGCGCAGCTGCTTGGTCGGAGATGAGTTCCTCGAGACGGACGACACCGATCGCTTTGACGAGGATCTGCTTGACGACGTCCGGCTTGGAGACGGCCTGTTCGGTGCGGCCAGCGGCCAATGTTGAGACCGCGGCGGCGGTCGCGGGGTCGTCATGTTTGCTGCATCATCCCCAGCTTGGACGATGTCCTCTGCGTCGCTGGCCATAGCAGGAACTGACCGTTTCGGTGGCCGCGAGGATCGTTGCGAGGCCTCTGATTCGGTAGCAGGTGGAGAGAGAGCTTGTCTCTTGGCAGGAGTATGGTCGGTATCGGCAGGATCGCGAAATCGTTTTCTGTCGCGGGGTGACGACTTAATTAGCTGGTCACTCGCCTCGGCGGACGGTGGGCTTGAAGCCTCAATGCCCTGAAGCCAATCGAGTATGGCAGGATGGTCTTGGGTCTGGTGTGGTGACGCTTCTAACATTTTCGACTCCGATGTGAGGTTGTTAAGCACTGCGTGCGACATTGATTCGATCCATCACGCAGGACAAGACAATGAGGAGAGGAATGTTGGTGGGATCCGATGACATAACGCCCAACCGGATTGACACTGAATTGTCCGGGCAACCGCACCGAGCGACCCCACTATCGGTTTACGTAAGCCACACCGCAAACCATTTTGATGGCAAATTGATAACGTAATCTACCCCCTTCCCGATCACACCCCCTACTCGGTCAGAAATTCCCCACAGACGCGACCCGCACCTCATGGAGAGACAAATCGAACACAACACCCGACAATTCAGCCCAAAAGAGACAAAACAAGTAAATCAGGACAATCTATCTATTACATCTACGGGAATTGTGTTCAAAGGACCTGCATTTACTACACCGTGGTGGTGCGCGCTGTCTTGGGACGATTGCCTCCTCGTCTATCTGTCGTTGGACCCGCTCCTCGTCTTCTCGCTGTTGCTTGGCCCACTCGTGCTCCCTTTCTCTCCGTCGGTTGGCACGCTCCTCTTCCTTTTCTCTCCGCCGCTTGACACGCTCCTCTTCTTTTCTTTGCCGTCGCTCAGCCCGCTCTTGCTTCTCTCCTCGTCGCTGCGCCCGCTCCTCATCCTTCTCGCGACGTCGCTTGACCCGCTCTTCCTCCTCTTCCTTCCGTCGCTTTGTCCTAGCTGTGCCTTCTGCAACCGACAGAGTACCGCCGTCGCTAATGTATTCGCGGCGTTGCTCTCTCTTCCGCTTCCGCCTTTGGTTTTCTGAGCGAAGCAGCCTGTTCTCGTCGGAAAGCAGCACGGCGCTGTGCATGGCCATCTGACAACCTTTGATGAGCTGGCCATCAGCCCTTTGTCCTTGGCCCGATTGTGCGACTTGTTGGTCGGGTCGTCACAAGATATTACTCCCGTGCAATTCAGTGACTAGGTCAAGCGTGAGACTGGAATGGTACATAGATTGATCCCTGAAGTAGAAAGGTACTTTACTGTAATGACTGTCTGTCCAGGAATTCTTCATGCCTTACACATACCTTTCTCCCTCCGCGGTCCCACAAACTGTTTGTGGTTTGTTTGTGGAGCTGTCAGTTCCAAACATGAACTGCACAGTTCCAATGTCTTGGCACGTTGTTCTCGCGGGGTTTCTGCCCCTCTGCCTGTCTCGCTGCGACCTGTTGGTCTGTACTGTAGTGACCGCGAGATGTGTCCGCTTTTCAGACATTACTTGACGTTCCCGCACGGACCAGCACGGACTGTGCCTTGTTGGCTCGTACTGTGCAAACCATTCCACAAAAAGCACTCTCCGTAAGTGGCGCAAACCACTTGCGGCCACATTTTTATCCAGCCCTAGTCCTAATCCATCCGTATCGCAAGGCATTTCGAAGCAGAACTTTCGGCATAATATCAACGAATTTTCAATATGGCTATCAAAGAGATCTTGTCTATAGATGTAGGCTTTCTTTCGACACTTGGATTCAGTCGGTGCACACATTCACAGCTTCCTGCTTCGATCATTCTTTTCCACATTGCAATCGTCTTCAAGAAGTCTTCTAGCACCTTGACTTTCCCACAAGCACACGCCATCTTCCTCAGAGTATTGCGGACCGATGAAGCATCCTTTGGGTGAGATTACGGCGAGGATATACGCCGCTAGCTCTACTCTATTCTTAGCCTGGCAGTGGTCTCTTTAGCATCAGGAAAGATCTTGGAAGCGGCAAAGTTAGCTGGCTGGACTTTCACTCACCGACTTTTCGATTGGACAGGCCGATCTGTGTTTAGCTCGGCACAGCTGGAGGCAGTCTTGCGTTCTGTGTTATAGAACGTCCTCTGGTGGAGGCAGCCTTGCCACAAAATCTTTCCACTTTAAGGTCTTCCCAAGATACATTGAGATCGCTTCCAATATATCCTCATCCCAATCAGGGGAAAAGAATTTGATCCGTGGAGGTTTTTCAGCCCGGTGGTCAGACAGCCGCATCACGACCTGCATCGCTGTAGTCTGCGAGTACTGAAGACCTGCAATTGCCAAGTCTTGAAGCTCGCCGGCTTGCTTTCCAAACAGATCAAGCTCATCGAGCAATAGTTTCCTGGCTAAGCCGCTTGTGTTGCTCCCAAGTTCAATTGCCAGAATGCACTGGACAGCTTTATCGATTAAATCGCGTGCGCTCTGAGTCTCGAATAACAAACGATCGTTATTTCTCGAAATGTGCCGATGGTGGAACGGCGAGGACATGATTCTGACGATGAACCTCCTCTCGCCGCTTTCGTCAGGAAGGTTGTAACTCTCAAAGGAGCCAATTGTGGCGCAGATGTCCTTAGTAACGGAGTTTTGTCCTGGGATTGTCGCGCGTCGATAGTGCATGAAGAGGTTTCCCGAGTCCGAGAGGTCTCGGAGCTCGCTGACCTCCATCCCGAACATGAAAGGGAGGATTGATTTCGTCCGTGCAAATGGGGAGAAATAGTGTAAGAAGCAAGTGGGGTTAACCGGTTTCTATAGGAGAATTAGTTGCATGTAGTGGGGCTGAAGCGGGGGAGGCATACACAGTGACAATTGGCAACTTGTTCACAGTCAGGAATTTCATGCCCAACGCACAGTACTAAGACAAATTTCCACGCGGTTTCTACTCATGCCTTAAAAGTATGGACCGTGCGGAGATCATCGTAATCAAACTGCTTGCGGAGACTGATATCCGGTACTTCTGTACCTTATCGCCTTTATTGCTCTAAGTCCAGGCAATGCCGTACTGTACGGAATGCGCTTACGGACAAGTGTGCCTCCACAAAGCACTAGTTTGTGGTGCAGCCAGCACTGTGCATGCCACGATAACCCCGCACAGGTTGGTCCGTGCGGGGATCGCAACTAATATCGATAAAATGGACACGGATTGTGGTCACTACTGTACAGGAAATCCTTCGCTTCAATAGGTCTTTCCCCTGAATCGTGTTTGTGTCTATTGGTTCCAGTGTTTGGTCCGAATGGATCACCGTGATCTAGGTGATCCATTATTCTTGTCGGTCACATGCGCCCAGCGTGCATGACCTTCTCCTGTCCTTGGCCCAATCTTGCGACCTGTTGGTCAGGTCATCACTCATGCCCATAAAAGCGGAGCTTGCATTTCCTTGTGAGTCACCCACCGCCTATCTACAAGGTCCAGCTTTTGCATACGGGAGTAGTCCATTTGCGATTATGATCTAAAAATAAGATGACTTGTTTGATCCGGAGGTACTTCCGAGACAAGTAACCGACTGATTCGCCAGCTCGCCAATCGTTGGTCTATAAGAATCCCAGAGAATCCCATCAAAACTTCAAATCGTACGATTCCTCATACC